TGATTATTCGAGCGATCGTTGTTTTTCGATTGATCGCCATATTCAGTGAATATTATTATCTGTGGATTACATTCATTTAGAAATTCACTCAGCTATTAATATACTTTATCGATAAATGCGGAATTCGTTTACAATCTGACACTCAAATACGTTTCCGAATGAGTATGAAGATCGTGCATGTGTTTATTTAATGAAAAATGAGAGAACCACATCGATTGTGTAATAAATGTTGACCAGATGAAGGAAATGACCAGTTGCATTCAACATGAATTTGTTCATGCATTTCTGGAATTTCGGTAGGAATTCATGCATTGATACACTTCCAAATTATTCAGGTACTGGTTTATCCGTCTAAAAATGCCATTTCTATAGAGGATTTCATTTTGAAGAATGGACCAATTGATCGTTTCGTCTTTCTCGACGCAACTTGGTTTCAGGTTTCATTTGCGGAATTTTGATAGAAATTAATCTTATTCATTTGTTTATATTCACCAGCTCACTGAGAACTTTTAAGGTTGGTGGACTAAGAATATTACCAGAAATTCAAAATTTGCCATCCGTTACGTTACGATCCTACAAAACTCAGTATTGGAGGCCACAGGTATTTCCATTTCCAGTCAACGAAATGAGGCGTTTGCGATATACATCTTTAAGATACGAAAGTATTTTTGACTGAAATTCTGTATGGATGCATATTAAAGTTTTCAACAAGATTCCAAACGATTTTGAACCAAGTGCCGTTGTGTTTTGACGTTAGCTGTGAATAAAAGTTGCTCATAACGATAGAGGAACTTGCGATGTGGAAATTCGTTTTCAAGGTTTTTCAAATGATTGGTTACTCATTGTCAGTTTCTTTTAACTATCGATTCCCTAATTGTAAGTAGAATTTATATTTTCAGAAAGGGCACTCCGACGAGCATTTAGCCACAANTATCGATTCCCTAATTGTAAGTAGAATTTATATTTTCAGAAAGGGCACTCCGACGAGCATTTAGCCACAATTGAGGCTGTTTATTATGCAATTCGAGAGGTACTGGAAGTGAATTACAATCGCAATAAAAATAATAATAGTTGTGCCGATCATAATGACAACAATGTGCAGCAGTCTTATAATGGACAAATTGATGACCTCTTATATTGGTTTTATTATTTTCATTCAAAAGTGCCGCAAGAAGTATTCGAGAAAAATTTGAACGGACGTATAGTGACGTCGTCTGAGAGTTGACAGTTGTGGATCGATGTAATTTGATTGTCATTCATTCGAAATCAGAAATTTTCACGATCCGATAATTCACAGCGTTCATCTGTTGCGATCGAATAAACGATATTAAAGCGGTGCTCTTTCTAAAAACTATTGCAGCCCGTCAATTTTCTGATGAACCATCACATTATAGTCATTTTTACCTTCACAAATTTACATGGAACTTTATTTTTCGGTGATAGCNTTTTTTTTCGATAAAATGATGCAATAATCCTTCCAATCGAAAGTCTGATGCAAGAAAACATCACAAAAGATGCAAGCAATAGATAAGCCGTCGAAAGGCTAATTCGAGCAGCAGTGACAACAATAACAGTAGTGATAATAAAAGTACAACAATAAAGAGACGAGCAACAAACATGATAAGAGACACTATCATCGCTGTACATGATCAATACCGGCGTGTTCCTCATCTATATTCTCCTCATCGGGTGACTGAAAAAGGTGACTCAGTAGTAACTCCCTTTTATAGCAATGTACCAATTCATATTCATTGTCACGAATCATTTTCAGACGCATCTCATTTACCACTAATGGCCACACCATTAAATTTGCATTTATCAGCAACATCGTCCACACCAAAAAGAAACACGTCACTATTGTGCTCACGCAAATCACAACTTGCATTTGCCATATCATTGTCGAATCTACGGTGGGACCGGGTGCCATCTCGTTTGAGACACCCTGCAATTTAAAACAACGTATTTCTTTTGTTTTTTCCCTCCACACTTCAGTGTGCTTCAGTTGATGTATGCATATAATATCTTTTTTGTAAGAACAAAACAC